TTCAACCAAATTTAGTTTTTGAAATTTCACTGTGACATTGTAGCCTCATACATCCAGATGAGACGGGATACTAGAGAAGCGCTGCCGAAACGAGGTGTTGATCCAAAGAGCTGAGCGCAGAACTTGCGCGCAGTTCCGCGGCAAGGCGCACGCGACCACGCGAACGTCCTACGACAGTATGCCGCGCTGGGAGCTATGGATCCGTGCGCCGAATGCATAGGCTGGCGCACGGATCCATAGCTGCCAGCAAAGTCGAGGATTTTACCGGGTATATAATGAAAGAGCCCAGCTGCATTGAGCTGCTGTTCTTTGCAAGTTCAATAAAAATATCAATAAAAGTGTCAACACCTACTTCTCGTTTCTCCGTCTCATAATAGGCGAGCACTCCCCACGAGTAACAGAGCATGGATTCAAGTTGTTTTATATATGATTGTTGCTCTGCTGGAGTGGGACTTGTCCTCGAGTGGACGGGCGTGGTCGGAAGGACATTCTTTGTCTGGCCCGGACAACACGTCTCTCTGTGCAGGTTCCTCTGTAAAGCAGCAGAATCAAATACTCCCTGATTTTCTGTCGGACTCCCTGATTTGACATATGCAAGAGTCAGTGTGAGTCCCTGAAAATTCTGCTATATACTACCTACGAACTACTTCGTTCCAGAGCACGACCTCGCCTAATTCCCGTATTTTTTCAGAAAATGTCCAGACTATTTGGAAGACGTGTAACCGCATAAATCTTCAAAATAAGCACACACGTTATTGTTAATATCTTTAGTTTTGAATTTCAGACTGTGGACTCTTGGGGGCAGGGAGTCCGTTTGGACTCCATTGTACAAAAGTTCTACCCCTGAAGCAGTGACAAGCACGACACAACGTAAGTGCACCCGAACTACAGTGCCACTAGAGTTAAAGTTGGTGACAAATTAAATCTCTCATCATATTAAACATATATTATCACAGTATTAAAATCGTTAGAAGAATCCTTTGGCTTAATTTTAGTAACAAAATCTCTTGTTCATTTAGGGGAACTCCTTACGACGTACATTAGGCATTATATTCTCCTATTGTTATATCCCTCTATTGTATTGCCCTTGGTTCAATCCGCATTGTCTATCGAGAAATGACAGAAGAGACAAAATCCCATACCAGCATGATCAAGACGCTGTGCTGCCTTAAAAGGTTACCCTCATAGATGATCGAATGCAATGGAACTACAACCACCAAAATCAAACCAGCAGCGGCAAGCGACCACCACTCAGTCTGGTTCATCGATCAGGGAATAATTATGTTTCAGCCGTGAGACTCGCGCACGTACCTCAGGCAGAACCTCAGTGATGATCTTTTCGTATTGTCTTATCGTAAGCTCGCTCTCCTGCAGCCTCTTTTCCAAGTTTGGAACCATATATCTCACTTTTCTCTCACCTCCCTATCACCTCCTCTGTCCCCGCCACGCTCACTTTTCTCTCTCCTCCCCCTCTCCTCCCTTGCCACTGTGCTCACTTTTGCCTCTCCTCCCCATCACCTCCCTCTCCTTACTTGTTACTATGCTCACATCTCTGTAGAACTCACCCTCCTGGTATATGATCTCGATCTCGGTCGCGACCTTGTCGTCCAGTCCCTGCCCTGTCAGCTTCGCGTAATCTTCCGACTGCTCTGCTGCCGCCGCCTCCTCCTCCTTCTCCTTCGTCACTGTGTCCGCCGCCGGCACCTCGGCCGTCGTCGGCGCCGCCGCGCTGGCTGGGGAGGTCTCACCCTCCCCCTCCCCTCCCTCTTCTCCTGCTCCACGACCGACATGATGAACTCTGACCTGCCGGGGAACGAGAAAAGAAGGCGCGCGCGCGTCGAGTCAATGTTCTTGGCCAAGTTTGGTATTAGCCACGAACGAGTATTGTGGGAGTGCAGAAAAAATATTTGGGAGTGCAATTTTCTTGTAAGTGTCTCTATGTGAATATTTTTGGCCGTGCAGTTTCAAAACTGACCGCGCAAATCACGGCTGCACGGCTCGCTGGCTAACACATTGTCGCCAAGTTCGGTATTGTTTGGC